TTTCTTCCACAACAGGAGGTTGTCTGAACTGAAGACCTGCACTCACCCAGCCTGAGCTTGGGACCTTCCTGTGGGGCCCCTGTTTCCCGGGGTCATTGTTCCTGGGCACAGCTGGTGGCCTGCGTTCCCTGACTTGGACACTCAGAGTTCTGCAGAACTCAGGGGGCGACAGCGGGGAGAGGCAGGCCTGGCCCCTGAAGTCTGGCAGGGCCACATTTACATGCTCTTGGGAACCCAGGTGCGTTCCTTCCTCTTTCAATGACCCCATGTATTTATAGCTCATCCTTCAAAGAGCAGCGAGCTGTGGGCTTCAGTCTTCAGACCACGGTCTTGAGAACCTGGGGCAAGCTGGTGCTTTGGGTCAGTGGAAGGGCCCCCCAAAAAAAGCCAGGAAAATCCAAGTAAGAGGTTCTGGCTCATAAGAGAAATTCACCTSACATCCGCAACTGCGGCAGTTAGTTACCTCTGGGCAGCTGGGGTGCGCCAGGCCCTCCTGAGTGCCGCGGTGCAGGCTGGCTTATGGCTGCTCACGACACCCCAAGAAGGGGGCCTTAGCGAGAACATGCTCAGGGGTGCCCAAGAGGGGGCCTTACCAAGGACATGCGCAGGGGCACTAGGTGACTCCCTCCAGGACACAGGGAAGGTGCAGATTCACACAGATGGGCCCTCTGCCAGAGCACCTTTGCACTGGGCCACACAGAGGCCCACAGTGCCACCCAGAGACCCACAGTGCCACACAGAGACCCACGGAGCCACTCAGGCTGTCATTTTATTTCCACATCAGTGCTGTGCTTTTTCTCCATTTGGCAGTTAAACAAAGCCAGTCCCAGAAAGGGCAAGGGCCTGACCAAGGTCCCTGGTGAGTGGGGCCTGGTGAGCAGAGGCTGATGAGCAGGGCTGGTGAGGAGGCCTCGTGAGGAGGCCTGGTGAGGAGGGATGGTGAGCAGGGCCTGGTGAGCAGAGCTGGTGAGCAGGGCTGGTGAGGAGGCCTCGTGAGGAGGCCTGGTGAGGAGGCCTGGTGAGGAGGGATGGTGAGCAGGGCCTGGTGAGCAGAGCTGGTGAGCGGAGCCTGGTGAGCAAGGCCCTGTGGGAAGGAGGGGGCGTAGGTTTGGAACCCGAGACCCACACCAGCCTTCCCAGGCGTCTCCAGGTCTAGGTTGCTGCAGACAGTAGGCCACGCTGTGAGGTCGCTCTGACGTCCACCTCATGGAGCAGCCTGGAAGCCAAAGTCTCCTCTCCGCCTCGATGGCTGGCTTTGTCCCGACTCTCGGCTGTTCTCCATAGAGGACCTCCTCAGCTGGGTCCAGCTCATCAGTCAACTCCACAGATGCCCTGAGCTCCATTCCTCTCTGTCACACCTGCCTCTGGCCCAGGATGGGGCTCAAGGGATACTTGGGGACCTCAGGATGAGAATGAGGGAGGATGGGTTTTAGGTTCCATTCAGAGGCTGGGAAGAGCCAAGGAAATCCAATGGGAATAAGAAAGAAGACAAGGAACCCACAAATCATGGAAAGGACCAGGAAGGCCTGGGGCATGCTGGGAAGGCCTGGGGGATGCTGGGAAGCCCTGGGGGATGCTGGGAAGGCCTGGGGCATGCTGGGAAGGCCTGGGGCATGCTGGGAAGCCCTGGGGCATGCTGGGAAGGCCTGGGGGATGCTGGGCCCGCCTCACTTCCAGGTACTCAGATGCTGTGGCCCGGTGACCCTCGGGTGTGGCCCAGTGTTCGCCTTGCCCTCATAGTTGCTGCAGAGTGTCCTCCTCAGGTCCCCCACTGTGACCTTCACACACTCTCCCAAACCCAAAGGCCCAGCGCATCAGCCCCCATAGCGATGATGGTGACAGGGGCAGAGCCTTGGGGTCTGCGGTCTGGTTCTGGGGGTGTCACCGGCTCCGGCGCAGGCAGGACTGGGTGTCAAGGGAGGGAGAGGGGAGGAGGAAGCGCAGGATGTAAATGTCGGAGGGATTCTCTTCAGCAGCACATGGTCTGCACAGGACCTGCTCTAAACACGGTGTGATTGCAAGCAACTAGCAAGGACAAGAAGACCGTTGGGTCTCAGAGAGAACTGGTCCCTTTTAAATGCTCAGGGCTCTTAACAGGGGCCAAGGGAACACACACATCCTTCCCACAGGCTGCCTGGCCCCTAAGTCTTCCTGGGGTCAGTGAAGTTAGCTGGCTTTCAGTTGTGGGGGTGTGGCGGGGAGGGCTTGCAGAGCCATCCCTCACTTCCCTTCCAGAAGGTCACTGCCTCTCTGTGTCCTTCCAGGGTGCTTCCAGCTCGGGAGGAAGCGGAAGCGTGACAGGGCTTCTGGCCAATTTCTACATTTCCTTCCTCTCTGGGCCTGACTGGTCCCGAAGGTCACTCTGGATCTCAATGTGAGGAGATGCCCCATTCACTTCCTGACTTTAGAATGACCCTGACCTTGATACTGGGTGCGCTGTGACCTTCCTGACCTTTGCAGAGGAAGAAAAGAGCTTATGATGCTTTCAGGGCTGCCAGGAAGTACCCAGCCAAGCCCATCTGGGGCTGGGGTAGGCCATCTCCGTGACCTGGGGGAATCTCGGTAGGCTGTGAGGAAGGCCACTAGCCGGGGGTTCTGGAGCTCTAATAGGGCTGCCTCTGGGGCCCTGCCCTGCGCTCCCTGCTCATCTTAATGGGATTTGAGTCTTCCCCCCTTGGATGCCTTTGTAACTACATATTGTCTTTTCTGTCTCCAATTTCCTGAGCTGGTCCAGGGCAGGGGCTAAGGTGCCTGGCCTCTGGAGCCCTCTGCTTTCCCATCTCACCCGTCTCGAAACCGCGGTGAACTACGGGGGCTTTGTGAATTGCACTGTGCTGTTCTCGTTCACACGCATCCGCATCTTTAATCAACAGGCAAATCTGCCAAGTAGGCATTATTATCAAAACAGGAWGTTAAATGGGATGCTTTTTAATCTCAGGTTTTGTAGGTCAAGAACAAAATAGCAGATGTCATCCAGCAGTGCCAGAGTGCACGCACCTGTTGGGCTTCCGAGTGGGTGGTCAAAAACCAGCTCCACCAACATGGTCCATCCCCCGAATCCAACCATATGGAAGAATGTAAACTATGCATTTTCAAGGCTGTTGAGGATAAATTTGGGGGGTTTGCTATTACACTGGAGTGGATTTTTTTTTTATTATCAGAAAAACAATAAGCTAGCTATGCCAGAGGTTTGATCTAAGGACAGGATATGACATTCATCCCAAACAGGTATAATGATGTATTAGATTTCTGTGGCTGCTATAACAAATTACCACACATAGATTTAATACAACACGTAGTATTGTGCTATAGTTCTGTAGGTGACAAATCTAAAGTGAATCTCTACTGTGATTAAAATCAGGTGGTTAATGGGACACGTTCCTTTCTGGAGAATCCATTCTCTTGCCTTTTCCAGCCTTAGAAGCTGACCACATTCCTGGGACCATGGTGCACTCCTTCCATTGTCAAAATCAGCAACATGCGGCCAAGTTCTTCTCCTGCTATCCTGTCCCTGGTCCTCTTCTCTGCCTCTCTAATCCACTTTTAATGATTCTTTGGATTATGTTGGATTAATCTGAGTAATTCTGGGTCAGGTAAGCTCAGCTGATTTGCAACTGTAACACCATCTAAAACCTTCTGGGTGCTGGGGTTCATACAGCTCTGTGGGGAGTGCATAATTCTGGCTGCCACAGATGTGGAATGGTGGGAAAAACATAAAATTGCTTTCATCTAATACCTGGTAAGTGCTGGTCACCAGAAAGCTTAACTGAATCCATTCTACAGGTGAGGAAACTCAAGCCCAGGGATAGAAAGGTGTTGTCCTTCCTTGACTATGCACTGACACTCCCAATGCCTAGGCCCCAGCACCTGGGGATTATGCTCTTACTGGCCTGAATGTGGCCAGGGCATTAGGATTTGTAAAAGTTCCCAGGTGAGTCTAATAAATGACCTGGGTCAGAGGGAGCACTGCTGGTCACCCAAACACCTGGCCAAGTGTGGTCCTACACCCAGGTCTGTTGACAAGGGATTGGTGAGGAGAAGCCTCCTGTGCTATTTCCAGGGGAATGTTCCCTTCACCTAGAGTCCTGAGTCAAAATCTGGTCCCCTCAGAATCTAAGGTGTGTCTTTAGCACACCCGAGCCTCCCTGAGCCCCACCCTGCCTACAAATCATCACTGAGTTTGGGCTGAACTCAACTGAAATGATGGGTGTGAGCACATTTCATGATGCACCGTGTAAATGACAGAGACTGACAACTAATTCCACCTGCTCTTACTCTGGGGTGTGTGGAGGGTGCAGGGGAGGAGGAGAGTAGGGTGGGTGAGAGAGTTTTAAACAGAAGATTTGCTTTCACAAGTGAGTCCCTTAGGAAGGTGAATGAGAAAATCAGTTAATCAGTTGCTTATTCAGGACCCGAAAGCTACAGAAGCCCTATTTTCTGCACCTGCTCCCTCTCACAGGAACCAGGTTCTACAGCTGGTTCTACGTCTTGCTGGGTCCATGTTTCTGCTGCTCTCCCATCTCCACCTTCTCTGCCTTGACTCGGAGCTCACTGTTGCTCCTGCTGGAGTTGGTCTCCTACCTACATTCTGAACCTTCCCTAATAAATCTTTCCCACTGCTCAGGCGGGACCGCGTCACTTGGGGCCTGCCCTCAATAGGTCCCTGTTTTCTGTGTCGCCATCTTCTGTTTGTCTGGCTTTCTCTCCTCCTGGAGGTGCGAGCTCCTTCTTCCCCAGCACTCAGTTCCAGGCCTGGTGCCCACTGGATGCTCCATAAATATTTGTTGAAGCCCAGGAACTGGAATTCAAACACCAAGAGTATCACTAAGCCCCAGTGCAGCGTTTTCCAAGAATTTCCTTGAAATCACAACTCAGTCAGCAATGCTTCACTGCAGATAGACACTTTATTGAAAGCAAGTGGCTTATTCTAGAGAATGAGGGGAATGTGGTGGGCAGACTCGGGTGGGGTTTGCAGGGTGGGTGGGTGTTTCAGGGGCTGGTCACTTGCTGTAGCTCTTAGGGCCTGGTTCTTGGGGCCCCAGGAGGTCTTCTGTCTGCTCAGCCCCCGCTGTCAACTCCTCTTCATCCCCTGTCAGCTGCTCGTCCCTGGCTCCAGCTGAAACACAAGGGCAGGGATTGATCCCGACCTGATCAGGACCTCCCCACCGTCCTTCTCCCTTTGACCCGAAGATGCCCCAGCCTCCAGTGGGCATTCCCTCCCAATGGCAGACAGAGGGGCATTTCTGGTGGTTGGGACACCAGATTCATCTCCCAGCTGTCAGGATGTGCTAAGGGTACAATAGTACTTGTCAACCAGAGCCTCCTCGCCTTGGAAGGTAAAAGCAGAGCTGATGATCTGAAATGTGCTGGACAAGGTCACTTTTCTGTTTGATGCTTCATTCATTCCTGTCCCTCCCTTCCTGAAGAACTGTCATTTTGAATTTCTGAGCCAAAGTGTCACCTCCCCAGGGGGCCTCTGCAGGGAGAGGCAAGTCCTCCCTCCTGGGCTCCCACCAGTCCTGGTGCAGCAGCCTGACAGCATGGTGCCAGGAGAGCTAAAGGGCAATGATTGGTTAAGTCATTACCATCCCCACTCTTCTAGAAGATTCTCCGGGGTGTCATGTTTATCTGTATATCCTCATGCCTTCGTTGTGATCCACTCTCTCTCCTTAGTCACTCCACAACAGGAAGAGGTAGAGATGCCTGCTTTTACCCTGGCCAGAGGGCCTCTCTGAGACTTCCCATCCAGCCCTGAGGATGTGAGGATGCGCTTCAGGGTCTTTCCTTTCTCCCACACCAGTGACCCTGGTTTCCAGCCAGATGCTGGTCCCTGTCCCACCTCCCCACACTGCTTCTCAGGTCTGGTCCCCCAGTGCCTCTCTTTGGACCCCTCTCTAGCTTCTCCTTCCAGCCCCATCAGAACAGAAGGCTCTTGGCAAAAGGATTCCCCAGACACGCACAGCTCCTGGAAGGGGGCGTGGCATCGGCACCCCGCAGCCCAGGGCATGCAGCCCAGGCCCTGCACAGCCAGCGGCAGGATGGAGCTCAAGCCCACCCCAGCTCCCACCCAGGCTGTGACTCACTACCTGCAGAGGCCTTCAGAGTGCGGATGTACTTGGACCAGAAGGAGCAGTCGGTTTGCTTCAGGCCCCGACGACTGGGGAGCAGGGCGCTGAATTCCTTGTAGCTCTCTCCACCGGCTCCAGGCACAAAGTCGGGCCAGGGGGCTGCGAACTCAGGAGCTCTCCGTGAGAACTCGTGTGGGTAGTTGGGATTTCTGGTAAATGAGAAAGGCCATATCTATCCACGAGGGAAAACTGCCTGCTGTTATCACTTGGGATCGCTTCCTATGTGCGTTTGGTCTTGACACCACGTGTGAACCCGCCCAGTCTGGCTCATAGGCTGTGTGACCTGCACCAGGCCCTGCAGAGCATCAGGGACAAGGCTTTCTGAGCTTGCCTGGCTCAGACGGTTCCTGTAGAAGAGACGTGGGCTGGCCTCCCAATGGCATTACTCAGAACCCAGGGTGCCCTCCTGTCTGTGCTATCAGGAGGCCTCAGTTTCCTTTCTACCAGGACACTTTTGGATCTGGACACATGGCCAGTCTCTAGAATGTCCTTGTTTGTCAAGACCTGGGCAGGAGGCTGGGCCCAGAGCCAGGGAGCATGCTTGCTACCGTGCCAACCGCCAATCAACTTCTCCAGGAAAAGGCCATCACATCTGCTGAGACCTGGGCTGCATCCCAGACCCCAGCCAGGCCCTCTCCAACAGGCCCTGCCTCCAGCCCCCACCATACAAGGTGCTCTTGGGTCCTGCGGGCAGTGGCCCAGCCCGGTCCCCTCTCCAGTGAGCCATGCCTCATTCATCTGAATGCTCTACTCATCCTTCCAGGGACAGGGTCAAAGTCACTTCTTTGGGGAAACTTTCCTGCTCAACCTCCCTAGCAACTGTGCCAAGCCTTCCTTGGTCCAGCTGGGGGGTGGGCTCGGTCTCACTGTTTCAGGCTGTCAACGCCCACAGCTGGGCCAGGAGGTTTTTCCTTGTTTACCTTTCCCAGGGGTCTAGCACAGTTCTAGGGAACCCACACACATGCCGTGAAAGGTGAAGGGAAACAAGCAAACCACCAGGAGGAGGAAGCACAGGCCCCCGGGCCGCAGAGGCATGAGCACAGTGAGCCCTAGGCTGGACCAGAGGCAGCTGGGAGGAAGGGCCAGGGGCACTGCAGCTGAGATCCTAAGGCCCTGGCACCCAGCCCCGGCCTCCCCAGGAGCAGAGTGGCTCTCCTCCCAGTGATCTGGCCCCCAGAGGGACATTGGGTAACGTCTGAGACATTTTGATCTCATGAGCAGGAGGGGGTGTGTGTCACCAGCATCTTGTGGGTAGAGGCCAGGGATGCAGTCAATGCCTCCTGGGTGACTAGTGCTGAGGGTGAGGAGTGCTGAGACTGGGAAGCCCTGATCTAGAGCCATCAAATGTGACTGAACAAGATAGGGCTATAACTGCAGCTTTCTCCATGAAGATCAATCTATGCAAAGGCGGTCTGGAGAGGGGACTCTAGAGAGGGGACCAAGGCAGGAAGAGCAGTGGCCAGCAATCCCTGTCCAGGGAGAAGAGGGTGGATCCACTGATGCCAAAGGTGGCCTCATGTGAACATGGAGATGGGGGTGCGGGAGATCATGAGGGTAGGTTCAGGACGAGGTCCACTCACCCAGATCTGATGAAGTTGGAAACGTACTGCATGACCTTCAGCGACAGGCTTTTCTCCTCCAGGGAAAACTGCCCCTGGTGGCCTGGGTAGAAGGGAAGGCCAAAGGTGTGCTGCACATCCACCAGCAACTCCAGGCTAAGCACACAGGGAAGGAAGAGGCAAGCATTCAGGGGGCAGCAAGACCCTGGGGAAACCAGATGAGCCAAAACCAACATTCCTCCCGACAAGCACCTTTCCACTCTTTGCATTTTTAGGACTCCTGCTCAGAGCTCAGCCTAGCTGAGACCTGGCTGGGCCCTTAGTCCATGGCCCCTCGGGACAGATGCTGACTCTGGTGCTCCTGGGGCTCACCAGTGCTGAGGAACAATGCCTGTGTGCACCTCCCCAAGAGAATGTCCACTTGACCGTGTGCCAAACAAGACACTTTGTTATCATTGCATATTTACTTACTCCTCCAGTCACTGAGCTTTGAGCCCCTGGTCTGCCCTAGCTCTTCTTCCTGTATAACTCAGGAGCTTGCAACCCTTCGAGGTTGGCATTCATCCATGCAGCCCACTCTAGCACCCAGCATGTGGTAGTTACTCAATAAACGTATGTCACTGAACTGGATCTCTAGTGAGCAGCTGGCAGACAGGGGTGAAGATCTGGAAGCCAGTTCAGAGTTTGCATGGGCTGAGTCGGGGTGACACAGGGAATCCTGTGTACTTAGGTCTGAGTTGTGAATCTGGGAGGTTGTGAAAGAGGGAAATCTGGGAGGGATTTGCAGTTTCATGGTAAAGAACTTGGCTTTGCTCCAAGACAGGCCTGGCCTTGTCCTTGGGCTCTGGTAGTAAAAGGCTTTGTTGATGGGTGCTTTGTTGAAGGGAGAGGCTGACCGCACTAGACCCTAGCGGGTATGTGGCCATACAGCACAGTCTTGGGGTCGGTATGGCCAAGCCAGAAACACCATGCATATGATTTCTGGTGAGGCTTGTGTCATTTTCTCAGCCTGTGACAGATGGCCACTTGGGCAACCAATCAATCATAATGACGCCCCAATAAAAAATCCAAACACCCGACTTGGTGGAGCCACCCTGGATGGCAATGCTCATGTATGCTGTCACACGTGGGTGCAGAGAGAGGAGCACGTGCAGAGAGAGGATCACTAGCATGGGTACTTCCACTTGCAGAGAACTTTCCAACCCTTCCTGTGAGGTACTGAACCCTAGGGTGGTCTCATTTCCTTCCCCCACCTCCACTCCTGCCCTTAAGGAGAGGACCTCTCTGCCTAGGCTCACGTGGTCACCGCAGCTCCCATGGTACAGGTGACAGGCAGATGGGCCCCTGGACAGGGGTGCTGGGCAAGGGCTGGGGCAGGGTGGGTGTCCCTTTACTTAGGCGAAGGGATCCGTGTGGAGGAAGGTCACATGAGGTGAAGTCCGCTGCTTTCTCAAGCCAGCTTGGCCCTAGCTGTGACTCAGTGTGACTCACTGTGATGGCCAGGAGGCTGGGAAAGGGGTCCCTAGCCCAGGGCTTTGAAGGGGAGCCTTTCCTGTTGTCCCTGCTGCTCAGCCTGGGGCCCCAGTGACAGCACAGGTCCAGGGCCCTTCCTTAACAGCAGGGCCTGGCGCCAGGCAACTGGCTTGGCTGGGCTCCTGTGGGCTCGAGCCAGTCCCCCACCACCCCTGTGAGCACTGTGAGTGACAGGTGCCTGGCCCAGGGCACAGGACGACATAAACAGACTCAGCTGACTCCGCCCTGGGACCCCCTGCCTGCGTCTCTGTGACTCAGTCTCCTCACCAGGTCAGAGGAGCTGCTGCACATGGCTGCTGGTCGTGCAGTGGGGCTTTCACAGGTCTGTCACTCTCAGGGCTGTGGTCACTGCGCCTCAGCCCTGGGCCCCAGTGTGGAAGGCAGCTGTGAAGGGACCAAGTCCCTAAGATGTACAGTGGGTCAGAACGAGGCACAGACACATGCTGTGGCGTCTCTGCAATTTCCTCAGGTGGCAACATCAAGGACACTGAAGCTCTTAGAGGGCAGCCGGAAACAGAAAACGTCCCGGAAATTTGCAGGCTCCTGGGACCCCAGGCTGCCAGCTTTACTTGCTGTCTGTGTTATCAATTTGTTTGTAATTAATTTACTTTATTATATATTGACATACCTGCAGATAGGAGTGGCGCTGTGGCTTGGTGAGCGGTGCTGGGCTGGGCCCAGGGGCTCACACACGGCACAGGTGCCCCACCACAGAGCCACGCCCCAGCCCTGCTGAGGTCCTTGAGCCCAATGTGAACGGTTGGCTAAGATATCAAGTATTGAACTTTTTGAACTTGTTGTGAAAAGAGCATTAGAAATTGACTCAGTGATATTTTGAAATTATTAGCTATCTTTAACACACTACACAATGGATCTCAAAAATTAAAAATAGAAAAAAGAAATGTCAACAATCAGATTTCTCTCTCCTCTCCTGTCTACTGGAAGTTTCTTGCTTTGACTGTCCCCTCCCATTCCCACTGCCCGTCCTCTGGGATTTAGCATTCTCCGTGTCTGCTGAGAGCCACCATCTCCTGAGCGCTCAGGATGGACAGGCTCCATGCTGGGCCCCTGACCCTCAAGTCTGCCAACCTCCACAGCAGCTGGAGAGCTCAGTGTTGCACCCACACTCTTTCCAGGCAACAGCCCAGGGCTCTGAAAGATAAAGTGACGTGACGTGGAGAGCCAGGGTTCAACCCGGAACGGACTTGGTCCCAGCTCCACGCCGTCAGTCTGCCCAAGGGAGGACCCTATAGATCAGCATGGACCACCCCTCCTCTCCCCTCTTCCTGGCTGTACTCGGCTCACAGGGAGGAGGGCAGAGCGGCAGCTCCCCCAGAGACCCTTCTAGAACAGAGGCCAGAGGCCGCACTCCTCCTGGGGGATGGTGGGGGGATTTTTGCTGCTCCTGAGGTTTACAGCAGGTTTGGATGGCTTGGGGGGAAGGCGAAGGTCCCCATTGCGAAGCCCGTTCACAGCACTAGGGGCCCGGCCTCCTCCGTCGTCCTCACACCGTAGGCCCCTCTCTCCCACACCTCCTCTGCCCCCCGCTGCTCCCTTCAAGGACTCAGGCACTAGACGGGGCCTACAGGGATCATCTGTCCTCTCAAGTCCCTGACTCTTTGCCAGACCTGCAGAGTCCCTTTGCCCTGTGAGGCCACATGTCAACTTGACAAGGTACCAGGGCTCAGGACGTGGACATCTTGAGGACAGTATTCTGCCTGCCACAGCAGCCTGCTCTACTGTTTCTTCCAAAGAACGCTGCGTGCCAAGCAGCCTGGTGAGCAGGCATAGCCCTGAGACCCGAGCCCTGTCTCCTTTACTCCCAGCACGGTCCCTTAGTATCTGCACAGTCCTGAACAACAAAGGTAGTCTGGAAAGGGGACTCTAGAGAGGGGACCAAGGCAGGAAGAGCAGTGGCCAGCAATCCCTGGGCCGCATCTGAGAAGTGGTGACGCCATCAGGCTCACCTGAGGCCTTGAGGAAGGCTGAGCAGCAACACATTTCCAACCGTCGGCAATTTCTGGCTCACAGGCCCATTCCCTGTCCCTTCCAAGACAGGACTGGAAGGTCAACAGTGAGGGCCACTTCCCGGGGTCCACCACAGGGCTGTCGACGTGAGGCCATGCCTGAGGCTCCCCCTCAGTCCTCAGGAAGCTGAGCATGTGCACCTTCTTTCAGAGAGGCTCCTGACCGCTGTCACATTCTCTGTGCCTCTGGTGTGCTGGGGAGGGGTCAGCAGCTGGCTACTGCAGCAGTAGCATTTTCCGACTTCCATGGTGTAAATACTGCAGCCATGGTCAATTTCAAACCCCTAAAGTGACTTCATTGAACCAGAGTGGGACAGAGATGATCCCAGCTGGGCCTTGGGCACTGGCGCTAGCTGGCTCGGACCCACATTGCCTGTGACCTCAAAGAGTGGGGAACAGTGCTTCTGGGGGAGGCCTGGCCCCCCAGCCCCCAGGCAGTCTGATGTGAGAGCCCGCTGTGGGTGAGGACTTGTGCTTCTTCCTTAGCTGGGCTGGCCTCCATTAGGATCCTGGAGCTATTTGAAGCTGTCGGAGGCAGACATCTGGAGGAGGGACTCCAAGTGGGAGGCATGGAGGAGGGAACACAGGATCGGAGGCCAACCTGTGAGAATCCCAAGGCCCTCTGGAGGAGGAAGAGGGGTCTGGAGTCAGTGTCTGCAGAGGAGACCCAGCAGGTGCCTGACGAGGTAAGGGAGAAGCTCCTGAGCCGAGGGTGGGCAGCATGTGCTGTGGGCTTGGCTTCTGCACACTCTGCTCAGTTGCTGCTGAATCATATGCCCGGGCCAGGGGCGGCTGGACAGGCATGTGGTCAGCCGGGTGATATTTAGCTTCCAGATGCTGTTTACTGCAGTTAAAATTAAGGAGTCAAGATTTCCCTGCTCTGACAGCTACCTATGCTATGTGGAGGCCACAGCTGCTTCTTCTCATTGTCTCGGAGCAGCAGATGTGGGCCAGAGAGCTCYCTGCCCAGAAGGCAAGATCAGCTCAAACCCCACTTTCACCACGGCCCTCTGCACCCTGGTTTTCCTACCAGAAGTGGGTCTGACCATCCCTGCTCAGTCTCCCACAGGGTATCCCTCGATGCTTGGGGTGGAAGGAAATCCCTCTAAAACTGGAAATTGCCACCCAAGTGGGAGTTAATGCTGGTGAAGTACATTTAGCCAGAGTGTGGGAAGAACTGACCAGCCACACAGCCCTGGGCATGTTTTTGTGTGTGTGTGTGTGTGTGTGTGTTTTGCTCTAATTCCAGGGCATGTGTACTGTTCACTGAGGACTATGGCAGGTGAGATGTGGATGTCAGGGTTGAAACCTTCCCTGCCCAAATGTGCACTGTGTCCTGCTGATGAATGCTGGGCGTGGGAAGGTGAGCAGGGTGGCCCCTACCTCAAGGAACTCAGGGGGTGAACAGGAAATGCAGGTGAGCCAAGGGTTTCAAACACAAATGCATCATGCATGAAAGACAAGTCCTATCAGGGGACAGAACCACTTACAAAACACAGTAAGAGGAGAGATAAAAGATACCACTCTTTTCAGGCAAGGAAGTAGACAGGAGCTTTGCACAGTTAGAGGGGCTGTGCGCATGCTCCTTGGTGAGGA